CGGTCTAATAAAAGTCAGAATTAATTTCGCCAGAATTGCCCGCGCGTTATCATATCCGGACTGATCCGGTATCAAACGTGGATCGCGATCCCCGAAAATAGTGGCATAATGTAACAGATAACGGACGAGTAAAAACGGTCGGAGTAAGGTGGTTCTTTTTCAGTCTGGCGATGTTCGATTTTCAGCAAAAGTAATGGTTGAAAATGAATAAAGGGAAGGAGGAGGGAGGAAGCGGTACGTTTGACAATGAAGGGCCGGAGGTTGCCCCCTTCGCCGGCACCTATTTGCCAGATTGTGCAGCTTTTGTCCACTCGAATCAGCCGGCTAACAAGTTTCTACTCCCTTATCCGTTCTCGCGCTGTCGAGTCGTTCAAATTGCAAAAAAAGATTTAACGTCAGCTCTCGGTTGAAAGGTCGTTCCTTTATCGATTACGAATAAACCAAAAGGAACGGATCACGTCGTGGCGGGAGGGAAAGAGGAGGGAAGAAAGAAAAAGTAAGAATGGAAGAAAGATGAATAGATAGAAGAATGAAAGTGAGAGAGAGAGAGAGGCAGAAGAAGTAAAATCCGAAATGAACGGAGAGAAGGAACGGGGAAAAGGAACGTAGCAGTCTTTCATGACCGATGGAATTCGTTAAGATAGAAAGGTGCAGAGGGAGTAGCAGCAGCATGAAAACGCGAGTTGAAAATATCGTGTCAATATTTGCGAGGCACGTCCCGCGAAAAAGTCCCCCTTCCGACGAAGATGACGTCGGACTTCTTGCCTCGCTACGAGAATTTAATATCGGACGTCCCAGTTCCTTCGAACTAAGGCCGAGAGAAACCACCGGCGCTTCGTAGGCGGATTACCCAGCCATATGCGTAAGATTTCTTTGTAGCGGAAGGCAACCCGGCGACGATTTAACCAAGGGCTTGCTACCCAACCCCGGGAGGAAGAACGCCGGCTGAGAGAGAGAATCACGAAGGAAATCCCTCTCCGCGTGACCTGTGCAACTCTGGCCACTCAGAAGTACGCGCCCGCCTTCCTATTTTATTTCCTCGAGCTTTATTCGCCGCGCGATCGTTTCGAGCCCGGATAAAAAAATCTCGCGGTATTTTTGCACGGTGTTTAACGTCGCGGCTTAGTCACGAACTTTGTTTTCTTTCCTTCTTCTTTTTTTTACCGATTCCGTTTAACGTCGTTCAGCGAAAAGTTTCGTCAATTCCGCCTCGCGTGAATTTTAGACGTTTTCCCCTCGAAAATTCAGATTCGAGGAGTTTCATTTCGAATGCAACGACGCGTACAAAAGGAAATGTTAGGACAATTACGTCGAGAGTAGAAATAAAGAGTTCGATCGCGTGAACGTCTGGAATTTCAAACGAGGTTCTCAATCGAAAATTTTGTTGAGTCTGTACTTAGCAGCCAGCTTTGCATGGATAAATATAAAATTTCTACGTTATCGGATACTTTCGATTATTATTTAATATGAAATCTTTATTGTCTATTAATTGATACTTGGATCGGTTTCATGAAGGATTCAGATTGTTCATTCGATCTTAAGAGAATTATTGAATTTTAACGAAGAATTATAATTTCTACATTCGATAGAGGAAACTCTATTCGATCTAAAGAGACTATTCACAACTTATTGAATATAATTAACTAATTTTATCGGAGCAATTTCCTTTTAGTTTATCTTGAGAATTTTATTATATATCGATAAAAAAGACATGTTGTATCACACAGTGTATTAATTTTATAGAGACATAAACTGATGAATCACAGCTGCAACAGAAAAATGTGCAAATTAGATAATTTTTATGATGCTGAAACTCTGAAAAGTCGGAAGATTATCGAACGCTCCGAGCGACATTTCCTACTGCTTTTAATTAGCTGCGAGCGGAATTAATAGCAACTTAATTAATATTTGATACCTCACTTGAGAAACGATGAAACGTTATTATCGGTAAAATTGCCAACAACTCGGAGAGACGTCTCAAGTATTCGAAATCTCTTTTCATCGGTAAAAATAAAATCGTTAAAAATTACGAAAAAACTAATACGTGAATCTGTCGGACAAGAGACAACGCTCAATAAATTTATCGGTGGAAGTAGAATGTTCTTCGTCGAACATCTTAAAAGCAACGGATTGTAAAATCCGAAAAATAAGAAAATTTCAACGCAATCTCCTGAAATCGACTATGTGCAGTTACGTATTCGACTTTTGGAATCGTAAATTCCATCGAAATTCACCGAGCTCGGCGACAATTGCAAAATCACTGAATTGAAATTTTCAAAGAACGATTCACCTATGAGCAGCTTCCAATACATTCCACGAGCACTTTCCTTTTTGCTTGCGAAATCGGTCGGTGCGCAAAAGTAAATTAATATTGTCGGCAAAACCGCAAAAAACTTGTTCATTAAAAAAAAAAAAGGAAAAAAAACACAGAACCCGGTATTTATTCCGGAAACGAAACGCCATTCCAAATTCCGTTGATTACGCGAAAAGTTTCGCGAAACAAATCGTCGAGATGAAAGCCCTTTGAAATCGATGTACAGTACGCGGAGCGGCGCGGCGTTAAAAAAAATAGGGGAATGAACACGATGTTTGTATACGTGTCTACATGCTCATTATAAATTCCCGTTGAAACTCCCCTCCACTTCCCTATTATTTTTAATTACTTTCCTGTTCGTTTCCTTGTTCTATTTTTATACTATTTCTTCCGCTCTTTTCCTTCTACTTTTTTTTTTGTTTTTGTTTTCGTTTTTTTTCCTTTGCCTTCTTTTTTAATTCTAAATGTAAATTCGCGCAGACGCGAAAATCAAACTGGTCCACACGAGCAATTAAAACGAGTATAAACGAATTCCTATTAGAACGTAGTAATTAAAACCGCGTGGCAGAACAGTGAGGTACGCTCTTGTCAGCCGGCTAACGAGTTCCCTTACTTTTCTTATTACGCCACTATCTAATTTCCCTGCGTGCAATCTTCTGTCTCTCCCTTCGCGCGCTTTTCTCACGTAACGTAACGCCGTGCATTCGGATCCGACCGGCGAGTCAGCGAATCTTTCCGTGGGAATTTGCGCTCGGACAGGTTTTGCGGTAATAAATGGCGACGATTATTACGAAAAGCGGCACCGCTACATGTGTAACGCGATATATTTTCGCCGCTTCCCTACGTGGTCAGGCCACGCTATCACAGATTTATACTTAAGGGCCACTAACAATTTCTATCTAAGCGCGAATAAGCTATTTATAAGTTTATTCTATTTATACGTTTATTATCTATTATATGTTCTACGCAAGTTATATATAATCTGAAATTGAAAACACTATTTCTGGAAGCGTATGGGTAAGTAGAATCAGTCTGGTAGCGCTGTTGGTCAGACTAAAGTAGTAGAAACATGGAGGTAGAAACCGAGAGGTAACTGCGCCGTTCTATATTATGGCTGTTCCATTTAACTTGCATATTGTTTACAGATGAATTCAAGAAAACTGAACATTATACTACATGTAAACATCTAACTTTTCTATTACCCTCTTACTTCTTCACATTTGCAGAATGAAATAACAAAGTAACTAAGATATATAATATTAAATTACTACTTTTATGTTTCCTGCAATAATTTTTAAAACTATTTTCATATTTTTCTATCATGAAATATAATACAGAAAAAAAGTCTATACAATTATTCGAATGAAATTAAATGTTATTATCAATAAAAGATAAAAAAAGGAATGGAGAAGAAGATCACATTCATTTCCGAAAATAAAACAGATCATAAATAAGGCAAGATTGAAGGAACTTTTGGTTAGCTTTTGGTACGTGGTTTTTTGCAGGTGGCATGATTGCGAGGGAAAGAATCGAAAGAACGCAATAGCTACGTCCGCAGAATAGCAACGTCATGGTGACGGTAATTGTGCCAATACCCTTTCATCGAATCCCTAAAGATCGTACCAATTCGGAAGATTACCTCCGACATCTCCAACTACAATCCCCCGCGGAATCACTTTCTACCTTGAAAAATGAGAACGCCGATAGGACAGTATTTGATTACGTGGGAACAGAACACATTGCGTGCGTCTTGTTCGTCTTATTTCGTGCGATCAGCTTCCACGTCCCGAACGTCGATGAAATCTTTCATCGAAGATAACGATTTAATATCCATCCGTTGCAGAAGACTAATCACGGATCTGCACGAAAGAATTTTCACTTTTGTTTCGTCGCTTGATATTAAAAATAATACTAATGTTTCATCATCGTAAGATTCGCGTAATAAGTTATTGTGGAAGTTACGTGTATTAAATTAATTCAATTTAAGTATCTATGATACAGAAAAAGGGTCTATAATGAAAATTGCTGAATACTTCTCTCAGCCCACACCAGAAAGTCGTACATGTGTCTTATTCTGATTTTATATTACTTCAATTACAACCCAATCACTACAAACTCGTGAATATGCTCAGCTATTCGTCAAACTTAAAAGCCATCGCCAAAGAAAATTGCTTAATCGAGTTTTAACCGAAATTAACGCCGCTTATTCAAAATTGATTCAACGAATTACCATCTATACAGCCTATTTATCATTATCATCAACCCCTTTAATCCTGGGAATTTAAGGATTAAGCTGGATACCTCGAAATGACAGTGGAGATATCTGCACTGTACGCCCGTAATCACAGCGACGCGGAATCACACGCCACATGTGTGGTAACTCATGTCACAGACAAGGTATATGAACAGACATTGAACCTAGAGACTTCGTAGTCTGCGACCTGAAACAGAAAAAAGGTTTTTTAGAACACTCTAAGTTCAAAAAACAGAATTGGAGAACTACATCGAGCAAAATGATCGAAGTTGGTCAAATAAGACAGTAACCAGAAGGGCCATTGTCAAATGTGCATTAAACACGAACCGGAGCAACAAACGGTATCTTGTTTCGCAACACTAACTCATTAGTATTAATTACGAAATGGGCAATTTATGAAAATCAAACGCGACGAGTGCATCGTCGTATAGCAAAAACTCCCGAAAATAAGTACGCTATTAGTCTATACTTGCCTTCAGAAGTACGCAATGGCAATTGCGACGCGTCCGATGCAACTGTGCTGAAAGTTGCATTTCGCAGGTGCATCAGGTGACTCAGGAGCCTTCCACGAATCCAGCGGAAGAACATGGGCAATTTGTAAACGCAACACTATTTCCAGAAACACGATCATTCGTTACCGCAACACTAAGTGTTAAAGTAATTGAAAGAAATCGCGATGAAATAATGACGCAACACTAACTCGAAAATTAAATTCATTTACAGATAATTATTACGAGTAGAAAGTAGAGAACTGCACGAACGAAAAGCTTCTTCAAACACTCTAACATTCGGAAATCAATTAATAAGCGACGACTCTACAATTTAATTTAAAACAGAGTAGAATGCGAGTCAAATTTTACAACGTAAAACTGTTTAAAAATTCAAATCACAGCAAAAGACAATCACGAATCACAGCATCATAAATCGCAACTCTCTAAAGTAATCGCGATTGTCAGTTCCTCGCGACTCTAGTTTAAAAACCGTGATCAATTTTTCGCAACACTAATAAACAAGCGCGAAACACTAATTCAACCCGTGATTGATCTCTCGCAATACTAACAAGAGAAACCGCGAGTTGCCCAAACCGAAGAAGAACGATGATGGAGAGGAAAAAAAAGAAAAAAATAGAACTACAAATACTAAAAGAGCATAGTGACAAAGTAGTAACAAGAATGACATCCCATGCTTTGGAATCATTTGAATGATCCAGAGGATGAGAAGCCATTTGTTGTGACCCTCTTCGTGGCAGTTTGCCGGGCCTCTTCGGCTTCTGTAGCCTCTTCTTTCTTCGAGCGCAATGCCCGCTGAAACTTACATCTAGCTCGAGTCTTTCTAATCTCAAACCGAAAACCAACTTGAAGCTGACTCCAATACACATGGACGACCATCGATCATAGTGATCGCTGTCCGTTCGCATGTGGGTGCTCGAGCAATACCTACATAAGCGTTCGTTTCGGGACCTACTCGCGACCTACCCGCGACCGCGACCGCGATACTAAATTCGAAAAATCGAAGAGTAAAATCAGAGACAAGTGGCATGCTCTACTTGTACCAATTTCACTGTCGATTTTTCAAATTGGATTTCCTGAAACAGGTTGGACACGCGAAAGGGAGACACGCGACCAGAGACTGTGCCAACCTGCCCGGCCCTACCTACTTATAATTAAACACATTCACACCAAAAAGTATGCTACCTATCCTAACAGTCGCCCTATATTTAAAAAATGGCAAAACAGGCACACCAACACATTCACTCTACGGTTCTCACACATACCACCCGGGCGCGACCTAAACTAGAGAGGACGTCCCGGGACGCCTCCGACACCCGAGCTTAACACACAACTTTCACACTCTAATTTACGTACCATTTTCCTGAAATCGACTGACAATGGCTGGCGAACATTGCGTAAAACGTGATTAAAATACGTTTATATTTATACCCGAAATATTATATAATAACTGAGAAAGAATAATTTCCATAGAAAGTACATGTGCAAGTTGACTTGGAATCATTATAATTAATAATATAATCATAGTATAGTCAAGGAGTATTATTACTTAAGAAATTCATACTTCAAATCAGTGCATAAATATTTTAAATATTTCAATTCATAACAAATGGAACAATAAAAACGACGCAATTCCACATCCTAACCACACATACATACACATGTGGAAAATACGTCGTGCACAATACGCTAACGCATTGTCAGTTGCTGAGAAATTTTTTATAAGATTACAAACTACGGTCATCGTGCCCAATGTCTTTCACCCACCCAAGTAGCACCTGGGCACGTGAGTGAGATCCTGACAATCAACACGGAAGGGGTTAAACCTGAAAATCCTGAACTACAAAAATGATTAGTTTATGTAATTTATATCTAACGGACTGTTGCATTATTTTATTTCAAACTGAATTGACTCTAAGCTTTCAAAAACTATTGAAATCGCAAAAAAATAAAGACAATAAACAAGACTTGAAGTTGTTGAGAAAGACACTATGAACAATTGACTCAAACAATCACAATATCAGACAATTGACTCCAAATTAAATACTGATAGAAATAATCTCAGGCGACTTCTGCATCAAAGCACATTTTCGAAAATGCGAAAGCAGTGTCCAAACTTTGTTGCTTTGATTCAAAAATCTGCCTGTCGCGTAGTATCTCTTCTTGCACATAAAATTTCATACATTTTTTTGCGGGAAAAGTTCTAATCTGTTATAATACATTTCAAATTCTACTGCGATTTATAATTATAAAAACGTAATTAATTAAATCATTTAATACCATTATAGAAGGGACGATTAAATTTAAAATTATTAATTACTATGATAAAACACATTACCAGTACCAACAAGTAACTGCATCTTTCATAGCAACGAAATCGGAGGATATCCGTTTTCTCTACTATCAAATGCTCAAACAAATCGTTTATTAACAATAATTATCTACAAATATTTATAATTCATCCACCCATATGAATATTCAAATAGACATTTTACTTTTGCAACCATTTATATTGAAGGTACTTTAATTTTATTACAAACGTGTACGTATATCCGTGTATAATATAATTGTTAAAATCGCGATGTGCAAGAAGCCCTATCCTGATCTAATACATAAAAAATCTGAAAAAAATGTTACTACTCACGAGTACAAAAAATACCCGCGGTCACTATGCTCATTAAAAATTTCACGTATACAACCAGTCACTCGTGCCGATTCGGACCTTTTGTCCTACGACATGATTGAATGACCGGAGGAACACAAATGCATGCGACTCACGGGGTAGATGTGAAGAAAATTATCACCGATGCTGTACCGGAGCAGGAAAAGTTATCGTGAAGAGCCCCATCGAGCAGATACCATTGAGAATCCCATGGTGTAAGTAAACACCGTGAGAAATTTCTTAAAAAACATAAAAAATTTTCTTTCTAAAGACACAGTGTTATTTGCGAGATTAATTAAATTTAATATGATTTAACAGTGATAAAGATTAGAATTGTTTTATAATTATAATTTTACATTCAACGATAGAAAGAGAACTATAGAGAATAAAATTTGAATATAACTCGCTTAAGTACTTACATCTTTAGCTTTCGGAGCATCGTAAGATTCTTACAGGATCAGGGGAAATGGAGACTCTAGAAGATCTGTAACAAAACATTAAACATTAGAATTTATATTTAAAAGCGAAACAAAATCTTAAGTTGGAGATTATTAATGAAAGATTCTTACATTATTGACTTCAGAGCCACCGTTGGATTTTCCCCCCAAAAAAATGCAAAACTTGATGCTGTGAAGCGTCTGTTTTGCAAACAAACATCAAACATTACACTTTGTTGTCAAATTTGAAAAATTGAATAAATTGAGATAGAATATATAAGACTACTTACGATCTTGATCTCCAGGAGAGGCCTTATCCTCTTGAGCACTGACTCTAACAGCGAAAACGAATATTGAACAGAAGAAAATACAAAAACAGAAAGACTATCAACGCGCGCGTTTAAGTAACAATCGGTGGACTCACTGACTCTAACTTCGCGAATTATAATTTGAATGAATTGATTAGTTTATTTAATTAGAGCCATTTTGCTCAGAAAAATATAAAAATATTTCGCAACAAACACTGACTCTACCAACCGCATTGCGCGCGGTCACAAAAATTTTCTGAAATTCGACAACTAAATAAAATTTGTACTTTGACTATTAAATGTGTACATTCTTGATAAACTATTGTTGAATTTAGTATTAGAATTGTTGAAAATGATATGTAACAATTATAGTTAAATCTTACCTTGAGTTGAAGCCAAAAATGCCCGTTTTATAATTTATATTCTTTAAAATACGCAATACATACACAAATCTAACAACTATTGATTTGTACTTTTACCCGAGAACTTTTGGACGATACCTCCTTCTGGGTGATTTTGCTGGGTAATACTTCTTTCTTTACAGAAGTGGTGTGATGCTATCTTCCGCCATGTTGCCCGTGCCCATGTTGAAAAATCGATCGTGACGAATATCGATTTCGTTTGAGAATCGTAGGACGTGTATTACGTATTTTACCGTATGGTGGCGCTGCCATCGCACGTTTCGCAGGAAATGGTAACTTGGAATAAAAAATAATAAACTCTGGTTTAAACCAAATACATAAGATTCATGAGAAATTTTTGAAAAAAGAACAAAAATATTCACACACTTGATGAAAAATTGTCAATACTTTAAACAGCGACATGAGAAATTTTATTATATTACGTACCAGAATTATCATTTTAGTCATGAAATGCGTACAACCTCAATAAATTATTGTTGAATTTAATACTTGAATTGTTAACAATTTTGCAGTATGAGGTTAAAGAATCGACAAATGAGTAAAAAATATTACAATAGAAGTAAAAGAATATTTTATATATATACATATATAATAAAAGAATAGTCATATCACAAGGACACAATATTTGTAACGATTAGAATTGAAATTAAATTTTGGTATAAAATTATAAATAACTTTAAGCA